TTCTACTTGAACGCTCATCGATTGTCTGAAGTTTGAAAATACTCATCCAGATTATGAACCATTCGAATGCTTTTTAGCTCCTAAATGTAATAGAGTTTTTCACGTCATCTCACAGACTTAATTTCTTTTGGAGTACATTCTCTATTATTCTTTTCGTAAGCTAAACTTTGAATTACATGATCAATTTTGTATTTTTTAACAGCCATACGTTCCAAACGGATATCATTCAGGTGGAGCTTCATATGTGTTGAGTCGTGAAGCATTGAGACGATTTTACTTGACTAATAATGATTCGAAATCTCAATGTCAGGAAGATGGTGGTAGTGAAGATATTGAAATTGCTAAATGTCTTCGTAATGTTGGTGTCTTACTAGGTAAATCGATCGATCAACACAAACATGAGCGTTTTCATCCATTGAATTTGAATGATCACTTCTTTGGCAGAGTTCCTGATTGGCTCGGTCAATATGCTGAAAATCAACCGTTATTTGTAAGTGATCAATAAAGAATTTTCATCTGTTTTTTTTTATTTACTTAAAATGTATAAAATTTTAGGGATATGACTGTTGCAGTGAAGAAACGATTTCATTTCATTATGTCAGTGCAGATGAACAATATAAGATGGATCGCATACGTTATGGAGCTCGATCATTGATCGCATAAGAAAAATATTCTCAACAAATTGCATCAATCAATAATACCCATCAAGATCGAATTTCTCGATCACAGATCATCACAGAACAGGATGTAAAAAGAACTTCACACATTAGGAGCTTGAGTCCATCACTTTGCCATTTTTTATACTTTTTCAATCACACATCAGAATTACTAATTATTTTATTTAATGAGATTTCTTTTTTCAATCATGCTCATTCATGGAGCGAAATCCTTGAAGGATTAGGCAGGATTCTGAATTCATAGAAATCTGTCGTGTTTTGATCAAGATCTTCTCTAGGTTATTCAAAATCATGTTTAGTGTCTGTTCTGGATTTATAATTGAAGGAATTTTCAATTTGTTTTCGAACTCTATAGAAAGTAGACTTAACTGAAAAGGAGATATTTTCAAGCAGAATTGAGATTTCAATTTTTATATTAAAATAAATTCACAACTACAGGTGTATATTGAATAATTATTTTACTATGGATAATCTTAATTGCCGTTCTTCCTATTGCTATCACAATCACATATGAACGTTCATCAAAGGCTGCAGTCCGCTGACTTATCTATTCGAGCTTGTCTCGGGTAGAACTCGAGATGCTTTTTCTATCTCAAAGTTCTCTATTTGTGTCGTTACAGTAAGAACAAATATTACAATTATGATAGTTCTTACTTTTCAGGTTATAACTGATTCTGACGCGAGAACTTTATTTCTTTCATAAAAGAAAGTCGGTTCTCAAAGGATTAAACAACGTTTCTCAGCGAGTAGACGTCAATTTTGGATGTGGATGTGGATTACGTGGAAAAGAAGACAGACACCTACACTCACATCCTCGTTTCTTGTTGCATTTTATTCGTGACAATCATTATCAATAAACTCGTTCACGATATACGTATATTGAGAAATGCTATCAATAATTCAAGGAGATTTGATTCACTCTATTATAATTGATTTATACAAGTGAAATATAAAAGAGAGTTTATTCAGGAAGTAAGTCGATAAAGGCCAAGAGTACAAAAAAAAATAGAAAAATAGTGCATTGATGAACATTTTCTTTGACATTTCTAACTTCCACTTACAATGGAACGGTTTGTATTGATAAGCGAGTTGGACGACCATTTGGGGTGAAAATGGTCACCATCACTGAGAAACTAACAAATCTAAAATATGAGCTGCTGATGGCTACTCTGGACAGAGATATTCAATTTTTAAGTTCTGCATTAATTGAGTATAAAACGTGTTACAATATGAAATATTCACATCAGCTTTTAATATAATC